CTCCCTCCCCCCCCCGCCTCCCTTGCAGCCCCCCCTGCTGTGAGGCCGACGGCAGCACCATGAGGGAGAACTTCGACGCCCTGCTGGCCCTGGGTAAGGCTCTGCTGCCCGCTGCGGGCTGTCCTCCCGTGCTCCGCACCCGGCGGCTCAGCAGGGCGACGGCCCCGACCCTGGTCATGGTGCTGGTCCCGCTGGTTTCCCGTGGCTCAGCTCGGCCCCATCCTGTGCAGGTGTCCCCATCGCCAAACCGGAGCCGGTGCCGCAGGCGGAGGAGCTGTGTGCCGGGGCACAGCTGGAGGACAGCGAGGCACCTGGATGTGCCGGCTCAGGTGGGTGCCAGGGCTGTGGGCGAGCGCCCGTCCCTCACCGGGGTCTGCGTGGGGCCGGGGCAGCGCACGGCACTCAGCTTTATCGTGTATCCCCCAGCGAGGCTGCTGGTGCCCAAGGAGGAGGTGCTGCCCGAGGGCGATGCCGATGGCGGTGGTGCCACGGGTGCCACGCAGGGGCCCGAGCTCGGCTGCTCAGGTGAGGGGATGTGTCGGCACACGGCACAGCTGGTCGCAGTGACGGCCGCTTGGCACCCGTGGTGGTGCCACCTTTCCTTGGTGTGGGGCACACCGGCAGCGCTCTGTGCCCACAGAGGACTGGCTGGTACGGAAGGTGAAGGTGGAGGAAGAGGATGAGGAGTGGGCGGCCGGGCTGGGCGCTGAGGCCCTGTTGGCGGGGCAGCCCCCGGGCAGCGCCTGCAAACCAGAGCCGATGGAGGAGCCGGAGCTGCCGGAAGAGCCGGGGGAGCTGGGCTACGGCACGCTGCCCGCCTTCGCGTGGCCGCTGCTGGGCGAGGGTCCGGCCGGCGCCTGCCAACACTGCTGCTGCGCGGCGCAGTGCGGGCAGTGCGTGCCCCCGGCCCCCGCCCCGCCGCGGCCCTTCGCCTGCGCGCAGTGCGGGAAGGGCTTCGGCAAGAAGGCGCACCTGACGCGGCACCTGCGGGTGCACACGGGTGAGCGGCCCTATCCCTGCGCGCAGTGCGGCCGCCGCTTCCGCCAGAAGATCCACCTGCGCTCGCACCAGAAGACGCACACGGGCGAGCGGCCGTTCCCCTGCTCCGAGTGCGGGCGGCGCTTCCGCAAGAAGACGCACCTGGTGCGGCACCTGCGCACCCACACGGGCGAGCGGCCCTTCGCCTGCGCGCTCTGCGGCCGCGGCTTCGCCCACAAGCAGCACCTGCTGCGGCACCAACGCCTGCACGCCGAGCCGCCCGCTGATGCCGACGCCGACGCCGACGCCGAGCCGCCCGCCGACGAGAAGCCCTTCCCCTGCCCCGAGTGCGGGAAGAGCTTCAGCTGGAAGAAGAACCTGACGTCGCACCGCCGGCTGCACCTGGAGGGGCGGCCCTTCGCCTGCGCCGAGTGCGGCCGCGGCTTCAGCGACAAGCGGCACCTGACGGCGCACCTGCGCGGGCACATGGGGCTGAAGCCGTACGCCTGCCCGCACTGCGACAAGACCTTCAGCCACAAGCCCAACCTGGCCACGCACCAGCGCACGCACACGGGCGAGCGGCCCTTCGCCTGCCCCGACTGCGGCCGCGGCTTCGCCCACAACCAGCACCTGCTGCGGCACCTGCGCGTGCACACGGGCGAGCGGCCCTTCGCCTGCCCGCAGTGCGGGCGCTGCTTCAGCTCCCGGCCCAACCTCATCGCCCACACCAAGGCGCACGCCGGCGCGCGCCCCTTCGCCTGCGAGCAGTGCGGCCGCGGCTTCAGCCGCAAGTCCCACCTGGCGCGGCACCAGGCGGTGCACACCGGCACACGGCCCTACGGCTGCTCCCAGTGCGCCAAGCGCTTCAGCTCCAAGACCAACCTGGTGCGGCACCAGGCCGTGCACACCGGCCACCGGCCCTACATCTGCACCCAGTGCGGCAAGAGCTTCAGCCGCAAAACCCACCTGCTACGTCACGAGCGCACCCACAGCACCGCGCCTGCGCCGCAGCAGGGCTGGGTGGCACCGGCGCCGGCTTCCGCCACGCTCTGCCCCTGAGCGCCGTCCTGCATTGGCACCGCAGGCGGGCGAGGGATCCGGCGGCTCCGGCCTGGGACGGGTGCTGTTGGTGCTGCCGCCCACCGTGGACCCCAGGAGCTGTGTTGCGTCGTGGCACAGGTGGGGACAGAGCCGACGTGCTCCTGTGGCACGGTGGAAGGTGGCAGCTCCCTCCGGGCACGGCGATGCTCTCAGCCGCCTTTTCCCTGCATGCTGGGTGTGGGCTCGGTGCTGCTGCAGCCCGTCTCCATGTGGGGTGCAGCTCAGTGGCTCCAGCGCCCTGAATACAGCACCGCCGGTGGCTCTTGTGGGCTCCCACCCTGCCCGGGCACGGCCGGCTCCACTGTGGCAGGAACCAGTCCTAAATGCCAATAAAATGCCCTTTGCCAAGTTTTCCTTGGGGACGTCGCGCCGGAGGGACAGCTGCACGGGGAGAGGGTGGCACAGAGGACGGGGGCTGAGCAGTGTTGGTGCTGCGGGGCAGCCGGGATGCAGCATCCCCAGGGCAGACTCTGGGGGCTGCGTGGGGTCCCAAAGGCCCCCTGGCTGCTGGTGGTGCAGCAGCGGCTTTGTGCCCGAGGGCTGTTTTCCCCATGTTGTGCGGTGCGCTGAGCTGAATCCGCGCTTGTTTGCTTGTGGAACCGCGAGCGGGAGCTGTGCAGGAGCACACGTAGAATTGGGCTTTTATTGGCACGGGGCAGAGCAGGACGCAGCCCCCGGGCACAGGATGAGGCCCTGCTCCATGCTTCACTGCCCGCGGAGCCCCTGGTGCAGCCGTGGCTGGGGGCCCAGCTCTGCAGCCCCTGGACTCTGGTTTATCTCCTCTGCAGGGCTGTGGGGCTCCTGGCTGCGTTTCCTGTTATTGCATTTTGATGCTGGGGGGCCGGTGGCCACGGAAGGGAGGGGGCCGGGGCTGTGCTTGCTGCCGCCCTTCCCTTGGCACCGGGCACCTTCCGGCCCCAGGATGGGTGCAGCCCCCGGGGGAAGGGAAGTGCAGAGGGGCCACAGTGTGGGGCTGCCGGTAATGGGGGACTGGAGTGGTCGCTTGGGGGCAGAGGGGACATGGGGGGCTGGCCCTGGAATCTGCACTGAGTTGGAGCCAGGGGATGTCCTGGGTATGCAGGCACTGCGCCTGGGGCTCTGCAACATGCCTGCCTGCTGAGCTTGGGAGCAGGGACATCACTGGCTATGCCAGTTAGAGTGAGGTGTGAGCTCGGCAACGTGACCAGGGACACTGGTGATGGCAAAGCTGTGGGCGCAGCTGTGGCATGATGATGGGACCAGGGACACTGGAAACGACGAGACTGTGGGCACGGCTGTGGGATGGGCATCTCCAGGGACATTCATCACGAGAAGGCTACGTGCATGGCTGTGGCATGGGGACGTGACCAAGGACATTGCCTCCGGTGAGCCTGGGGACCAGAGACACCACTGGGACATCAGTGAAGGTGAGTCTGTGCACAGCTGTGACGCGGAGATGTGACCAGGGACTCTGATGGTGGTGAAGCCGTGGGCACAGTTGTGGTGCAGGGACATCAGCTCCAACTGCTGCAGGGCTGTGGCCCCCGGGTGCGCAGTGCCATGGGAGCAGCCCTGGTAGCACCGCAGCACTGCTGCACTGCTGTGGGCCTGGGGCTGTTCCCTGGGAGCAGTGCCTGATTGCCCCACCTGCTGTGCCCAGCCAGCGAGAGCTGTGGGAGCTGGAGGACACCAACCACCCTCTGTCCTACTCCTCTGCCTGCCTGCCTGCCTGTCTGCTACTCCCTTCCTTCCTCTGTCCCATCCATCCACACATCCCTTCACTCCTCTTCCAGCCATGCATGCATGCACGCATCCACCATCCATCCCTCCACCCATCTCCCCCTCCTTCTCTGTGCCCCATCTATCTGTCCACGCATCCCATCTATCCATCTGTACCATCCGTCCCCATCTATACCCATCTGTCCAACTGTCTGTCTACCCAGGCACTCGTTTTCCCTCCCTCCCTTCCATCCACCCAACTGTCCCCCCTCTGTCTGTCTGTCCTCCCCCCCCCCTCCCCCCGCCCCACCGCTGGCGCAATGCCGCTGTGTGCCGTTCGCTCCGCCCGCTGGTCGCCGTGACAACGGGAGGCGGAGCCGAGGGGCCGCCGGGAGCCGCCGTTCGTTGTGTGCGGGTGGAGGGGGGGGGTGAGAAACGGGGACACCCGAGAGGGGTAGGAGCACAGGGGTGGGCGATCTGCGCGTGCACACGGGGGTCCCACCAGCCCTGAGCAACCCTCGCACCTCCCTGGGGCATCCATCCCTGACTGTCCATCCCTGAGCATCCATCTGTGGGCATCCCTCCCCAAGCGTCCATCCCAGAATGTCCATCTCTGAGCGTCCCTCCCCGAGCATCCATCTGTGAGCATCCACCCCCAGGCGTCCATCCCCGAGTGTCGATCCCCGAGCATCCATCTGTGAGCATCGCTCCCATCCCACTGTGTCCGTCTCTGAGCAGCCTCCCCCGGTGTCCCCGCAGAGCTGCGCTGGCGCAGTGCTGGTGCGGATCCCCACAACCTGACATGGAGACACGGGCAGAGAAGGGCGAGGAGGGCGACGGCGCGCGCATCACGGCTCAGCTGCTGAAGGCCAGCACCGGGGAGTTTGCTCTGGAGTCCATCCTGCTGCTGAAGCTGCGCGGCCGCGGCATCGCCGACCTGGGCTGCCTGGGCGACTGCACCAACCTGGAGTGGCTCGACCTCTCCGGCAACGCCATCTCGCAGCTGGGCCCCCTGGCCGGCCTCAAAGCCTTGGCCGTCCTCAACCTCTCGCGCAACCGCATCTCCAGCCTGGAGCCGCTGGGCTCCTGCGAGAGCCTGCAGAGCCTCAACCTGGCGGGGAACCAGGTGAGCAGCCTGCAGCAGCTGCGCTGCCTGGCCGGCCTGCGGCGCTTGGAGAGCCTTCGGCTGCGCGACGCGCTGGGCCAGCTCAGCAACCCCGTCTGCGCCACCGCCGCCTACCGCACCGCGCTGCCCGAGCTGCTGCCCGGCCTGCGGGACGTCGACGGCGAGCGCGTGTCGGGGCGAGGCAGCGAGCTCTTCCAGCTGTGCCGCGACCTCGACAGCTCGCTGGGACGCGGCCCCGGCCCCGCGCCGCCGCGCGCCGCTCAGCCCTGGGTGCGGGCGGGGTTCTGGGAGCCGCCGCCGCTGCGCCGCAGCTCCATCGTGGAGGAGGCGTACCGGCAGTTCGGCGAGGCGCTGCGGGAGTGCCGCGAGTTGGGCCGGCGAGCCGATGACACCATCGCGCAGGCTGAGCGGGCGCTGAGCGGGCGCGCCGACCCCGGATCCTACGTCTTCTGAGCGGCCCGAAGCCATCGAGGCGGCCGTTCCGCTCCGTTCCGCTCCGTTCCGCTCCGTTCCCGTTCTGCGGGCTCCCGGCTCGGGGGCTCCACAGGGACCTGGGATGTGGGGAACGGACTCCTGCCTTGGCACCAACGCCGGCAGGTTTTGGAACTGACCCCAGGCAACCGTCCTGCAAAGAGGGATGCGGACCTGGGGGCTGCGCGTGGGGACCGAGGGGGGTTACGGGGTCCTGCTGCCGGGGAGCAGCTGTGCAGTAAATGTGCCGTTCCTGAGGTCTCTGCTGCTTTGCGCCGAGCCCCTGAGCGTCCCCATCCCTCCTCCCGAGCCCACCGGTGTGCCCACAGAGCAGAGCGTGGCTCTGAATGAGGGTGGCACAGCCCCGCACACAGAGATCCTGGGTAGGAATGAAGCAGAGAAACAGAGGCAGAGCTGGGGTTTAATGGTGCATGCAGACACTGCCAGGAGCTGGGGGGCGTTGCGGGACGACCTTCCCTTCTCTGCACAGCGCTGAGGGGCAGCAAGCTGGGGGCTGGGGGCCCCGTGTCAGCATCCTCCTCCTGGGCTGGGGATGTGGCGGCTGCAGGACTGCAAAGAGGGCACAGGGGGTGCTGAGGGCTGTTTGCAGGAGGAGCCCGCTGCCTGCAGCTCCCCGTGCTCACCCAGAGGAACGTTCCAGGTGGGACTTACTGTGCGCGGGCACCTAGGCTGGCAGCCCCTTGGAGAAAGCAAACATGCCAGGCAGATAGAGGGCATCGCTCGCCTTGCCGGCCTCCTCCACAGCCCTGCACTCAGCTTCGTCACGTTGTCTGATCTCCTGCAGGGCAGAGCACAGGCACTGGCGTCACTGTGGGCTCCCAGAGCACGTCTCAGAGCTGAGCCCCCCCTGGGGAGAGCTCACCTTCACGGCCAAGTGGTGGCTGGGGCCACAGTTGTAGTACTTGTCCAGCACCTTGGGGACATCGCTGTTGTCAAACTTGTAGCAGGCCAAGCAGACTGGCTTTCTCTGCGGAGACAACACGGCCATCGCCACCGGTGCCGGCACCCAGACCCCACCACCAGCCCTGGGGACATCCCCCACAGCCCTGCAGCATGGCTTTCTCATCACCCCCAGCACCAGCAGCCGTGCTGGACAGGATGGGCACATGGCAACAGGGCAGGAGGGAGGGAGAAGGGGTGAAACCACCCTGTCCCCGTGTCTGGAGATGGGGCGCTGGCTCGAGGGGTGCAGCCCCCACCTCACCCTGTTCTCCATGATCCTGCAGTTCTGTCTCTTCTGTGTCTGCTTCCTGCATGCCGTCTGTGCAAGGTTAAGGCGCAGCTGGACGAATGTCCCGGACGAATCCACCTGGTGCAGGGGAGATGTGCCATGAGACGTGTGGGGGGATGGGCTGTGGGCTGTGCCTGGCTCACCAGAGCTCATCACAGGACTATTGGGGTGCCCATGGAGTGAGGAGCTGCTGCAGTGCCTTGGGATGGGCAAGGATGAGATGGCACCAAACCCGGCTCCAGTGTGCCAGCAGGACCAGGAATAGGAATAGAGGGACCCCAGGCCCAAAAAGTAACCCCGGGCTCCGCAGTGAGGCTCCCAACCCTCAGTAAAAGCCCACCCTGCAGCCCTCAGCTGCCTGCTGGGGAGAGGACAGGAACGGGACGCCGTGTCCTGCCAGGGGACAGCGGGGCACCAGGCGCTGTTCAGTCCTACCACAGTGCGGTTAATGAGTAGCTGAGCCCCACGCCGTGCCAGCAGGCACCACTGTGCCAGCCCAGCGGAGACCCGTGGTGCTCTGCATCCCCGGCAGTGACACCACGCCACCCCCGTCCCCCCACTCGGTGGCAGCTCGCCCCTCGCCCCACGCAATTCCACAGGCACCCTGCATGAGGGCCCCCGTGCCTCCCCAGCACTCACTCTCTCGACGGCCCCTTCCACCGACTGCTCCCTAAAGAGCTGCTGGACGTTGCTGCGGCTGTGGAAGTAGTCCAGCACGTCCTTCACCACGCGCCGCTGCAGCGGGCTCTGCCCGGCGGCCGCCAACGCCAGCACGGCCACGGCGATGCCCAGCAGCCGCTTCATCCCCGCCGCGCAGCCCCGCCGGCCTGCTGCCCACCACCGCTTGTTGATTTTGGTCTCTCATTAACCAATTTCCTGGGAACTGCCCCTTTCCGCCCATCGGACGGCCCTGCGCAGCCCCCGCAGAGGAGGGGCCGCGGCGGTGGCCAGAGGCGCGCGGGGATGGATGGCGGCAGCCTTGACCCCGTCGGCATCGTCAGCTCCGTCCCCGGCACGGCAAAGCCCAGAAGCGGGGAGAGGTGAAGGGGAGCAGAGCCAGGGCGCAGATCTGTCCTCGGGCAGCACAGCAGCGATGGCCCTGGGGCTGCTGGGGGGCCCCAGCCTGAGCCCCACGGCGGGGATGGGACGGCAAACAACAGCCCAAAGCCCCCCGCTCCCAGGAGCCCTGCAAGCAGCAGCGCACAGAGTTGGCACTTCTGGGGCACTTTCTGGGTTCTGCCGTTCGGAGCAGTCCCACGGTTTACAGTTTTTTCTCCGCTTTTGGCTGCTTTCTGTAGAGTTTTTTTCTGGATTGAAAGGGCTGGGTTTGTCTCCGAGCCAGCAGTGCTTTCTTCCAGCACTGTGTGCAGGTTGGGCATCGCAGCAGAATCATAGAGTGGCCTGGGTTGAAAAGGACCTCAAAGATCATCCAGTTCCAACCTCCTGCTGTGTGCAGGGTCACCAAGCACCAGACCAGGCTGCCCAGAGCCACGTCCAGCCTGGCCTTGGATGCCTGAAGGGATGGGGCATCACAGTACAAGGCCATAAACCCATCAGAGAGCACCCGTGGGGGGCTGTGGGGATGGGGTAGGGTGGCAGGACCCAGCAGCATCACTGGGTCCAGCATTGAGTCCAACCTGGCTCCAGACAGGGCAACGCAGGAGTTACACCATGCAGTGTCCAAACAGCTCCAGAGCAGCTCAGAGCCAACCTGACGGACCCCTCCTCTGCTCTTTGAGGACAAAAGGCAAGCAGGGAAACCCAGGAGCAGCACAGGGCCTCATGCCTTCTGCTTGCATCCTTCACCCCAGAGAAGCGTGCCACTGTGCAGGCAGCTGGACTATAAGGAAATTAATTGGCTGACTTGTTTTAGCCACTGCTGTGATAGAAACAAACCACGAAAGCCTTGTTTTAATGAAGTTAAGACCCAGAAGAGGCTGAGGGGGGGGACCTCATGGCATTGCCAGCCAAGAACTGATCTTCAGTCAACTCCTCATACGTGCAACCTCACACACAGCAATGTGTGCTCCTATGCAGGTGAGGACAACCACCCTCAAAGCTGCCAAAGTGATGAAGTGGAGGAAGTGTGAATCACAACACGACTAAAGGTGTCTTTGAAGGCGGGTGCTACTGTCTGCAGCGCTGGGCAGTGGATGAAGTGGCGGATGGAGGCTGAAATGGGAACTATAATGCAACGCTGTGATTCACGTCCCACTGCTGTTGTGTAGATGAGCGGGATGACATTCAGCACGTTGATTTCTTTGTGATACAAAATGGTGACGAGTGGGGGCTAACGATGAAACAGCAGCAAGACTTAATAATATATGGGGACAACATGGGGTACCTGAACAGCTCCGAATCACAGCAGGCGACAGCAGGGCCCAGCCAAGGAGCTGACCTCCATCTGGAAGGGGAAGGGAATAAAACTCTGCTGTTGGATGCGTTGTTCATTGAGGGCAGTCGGCCCCGAAATCTGGGAGACATTGCAGAAAGCTGATGGGATTCTGGGGGTGTCTGCTTCACGACAGAATGAGATGGTCTATGGGGTAAATAACAGTGGGAAGCAGGGAAGGAACGAAGAGAGAAACCAAAGAGCAGCAGGATGCAGCCAGGCTGCTGGAATGCAAGCCACAAGCTGAGGAACAAGAGGAACACCTTGAGGTCTCAGGGAATTCAGTTATTGCCTTCTGAGCAGATACCAGAGCTGCTTCTCCTGTTGTAAAGCATTGGAGGACATCGAAGCATTCTGTGCTGGCAGTTGGGCCCATGGCAAAGCCAGAGGTTAAGTTTGAGTGTGTGAGTTTTTGCATATGCCAGAATGCCCTTCACCTCCCATGGGATGGGATTGGTTGAGCAAGTTTGACCTCAGACAACTTACGATAAGAACAAGATGCGGCTACTGTAATGATGTGGAGGCACAAATGCTGAGCATTCTAAACCTGGCACTGCTGTGAGCCTGAAGCTATAGGGGAAAAAAGTGGGTTACTGTCATCTCAAGGCAATCCTACACAGGACAGCGCAGAAATTATGGGATTAATTGATGCAATTATCAACCAAGTGGTGGTTTTTCACTGCAAGGCCCACCGGTCCAACACAACAAAGTCTTCAAAGGGAAGAGAGGAGCAGATGAAGCTGCCAAGGAAACGTCACTGTCAGTAACGAGGAGCCTCGCTTCCTGAGGCATTCCAAAGTATTAGGACTCCTGTTTGTATGAAAGCATGGGGTGAGTTGGCAGAGCTGCCATCAGAGCTCTTGAGGTGTGCTACAACAGCTGAATGGTGGGCAGCACCTCATGGGCAGTGAGTAGTGACCCCTCCAACAGTGAAAGAGTAAATGGAAAGGACACCTGAGAGTGCTTGTATGGGGACAGAAGCTCGTGCTGAAGCAGGAGGAAGACATGCTGTAGGAATCAGTGCTATGGACTGCTACAAGTATTGTCCAGAGGCACAGGATTTGTCTTATAACCCTAAAATTAAGGGTAGATCTTCCCCATTTGAGTTTAAAAGAGGTTCTGTATGCGGGGAATCTTGGCAAACAAAGGGATTTGTTTTGTGAATTACTGAGGTGTGATGGGTGTAAATATCAGCACTGGCTGACTCCTCTCTGGGTGATTTGAGGCACTCTTGTGCTCAACCAACAAAGCATGAGAAATACTCAGAGTTTTACTGAAAGAAATAACTACTGCAGGATTTGGCATTCCAGGAGGACTACCAGCAGATAGAGGACCTCATTTCCTAGCAGAAATCACCCAAGGAATAGCTGGGCTCCTGCAAATGAAGTGGGACTCACACACCATGGAGACAGCGGTCGAGGGCTCAGGTAGAAAGAAGGAACCAAACATTAAAAAGGCAGACTGGAAAATTACATCAAGACAAACATTTGAAACAGGTGGAAATTCTCCTTTTGGCATTGCTGAGAACTGAAACAACCTGCAGAGTTAGGGAACGGGTTGGTCCTTCTGAAGTCATGCATGGGAAACCATATCCTACAAATTTGACTGGAGAAGGCGATCAGATGCACACGGCTGGTGACCAAATGCTGAGCATCTCTTGTCTTTGGCAAGGCTTCTTCCTCCCGTCCACAGATACGTGCAATTAAGTGCTCCAGGAGCTCTGGACCTTGCTTTAAACGGAGGGACCGAGGGCATCTCTGAGCTTGGAACAACAAACCCTCGGCCCAGAGAGGGACAGGATCTGGTACTCGTGAGGCAGCAGAAGGGATTGGCTCGTGGGTTCACCGCACCAGGACAAAGGCAGCGCCATGGGAGGCGTGAGGAGCTGCAGAGATGGATTTCCTGAGGGTAAACATTAAAAGAAACACACGAACTGCACCTGGAGCAGCTTGGATGCCCGCTCAGGGCCGGGCTGCGCTCCTGCACTCCTTGACTTTGCAACCCCAGCGTAACTCCTCCAACCCCTCCTTTATGCGTGTAAGCGCGCAGAGCTCCCTACAGAAAGAAACGAAGAGAACCGAGGGGGGATCCTGCGTGCTGCCTTGGGGCGAGGCAGACACCTGAGGGGTGGCGTGGGAGCTGTGGGATCAGAACGGCTGGTAAAACCACCAACAGGTTGACAATGGCGACCGCTGGGTTCCCTGACTGAAGCTCATCCGAACCCCCGGGATCCCCCAAAACAAACTAAACCTCCCATTTGTAGCGGGCAATCGGGAGGGGGAGGGAGAGTGGGACGCTCTGGCCCACTTCCGGTATTCTATGGTAGCACTTCCGGGCGCTCTGGCAGGGCTCTGCTGTCTATGGTGCCGCGCGCTACTTCCGCCCCCCTCCCCCCCCGGACCTACGAGTGCCGCCGCGGGACACGCGCGCTGAGCCGGAAGTGCGGGGCGAGGCGTTCTCGCGAGACTGCAGGAGAGCAGCGGCCGCCTTTTCCTTCCCATCCTCCCCCCCTCCTGCCCCCCCTCCTGCCCCCCCGCAGTCGCGCGCGCGCCTCCCGGCGTCGCCGCCGTGCTGACGTCACCGCCGCGTCTACGTCAGCGCGTCGCGGGACGCCGGCGGCCGTGAGTTCCCCCGGGGAGGCGGCCCGGGGCTTGGGGGAGGGGGGCGTCGCCACGGCAACCCAAGGGCCCGGCCGGGCCCAGGGTGAGGGGGGCGGGCCGGGCCGGGGGGCGGCGAGGCCTCGCTGAGGAGAGCGGGAGGGGACCGGGGCGGTGGCCGGGCTCCGGGCGGGGTGGGGGGCAGCGACCGTGCCCGGTGCGGGCCGCCCCGGGGCCCTCCGCAGGCCGCCCGTGGGATGAGGCCCGGCCTCGCCCGCTCCCGCCGCTCGTCCCGTTCGCCCCGGGGAGCAGCCGAGGGCCGCGTCGCGAGGATGGGAGCGCTGAGGAGATGTCGTGTGGTGCCCCCGCCCCGCGGCACCGAGGCTGAAAGGCGGGCGTCGGCCGCGGGGCCGTCGTGAAGGAACTTCTGCCACGCTTCAGAACTCTCTTCTCCATCTGTCCCAAGGCTGAGACATCTACAAGCAACGTGGAGCGCAGGCCTTGAGGCCTGGAGGGTTGAAGAGCAAGGGGGAAGGCAGGAAGGCAGACAAAAGGCCTCAAAGCCTTCAGACCAAAGGGAGATCTTAGGGCCAAACAGGGCTGGTAGCATACAGGGAGGCCAGGGGGTGCAGGTGTGTGAAACCAAGAGGGTGGCCTGGAGGCCTGGAGAGAGGCCACAGCCTGGCCAAGAGACCTAGAGGCGTGCAGACCCGGAGGTAGGTCTGGTACAAGGCATAGAGACGAATAGAGATCAATAGACTGCAGTTTAAGAAGCTATCCAGTCTAATTTTGAGAGGCAGACACATCTGCATGGATACTTAGAGGCTTGCCAAGAGGCCTCGAAGCCCCACAAAGCAGTCCTAAGCAAGGGGATCCCAGCCCCCACCCCCACTGCACTCACCTCTGCTGGGCTGGTCCCCTTGTGATGGTTGATACCTGATGGATGTGGTTAAGAGTATCGCGGTGTCACAGTGTCTGAATGGCAGTGCCCACAGGATACAGAGCTCTTAGCTGAGTGGCACAGTTGGGTGCTCTCAAGGACCCAGAGCCATTAGTTACAGCAAACTGCATAAAGCACCTCACAGCCCAACCTCCTTTCACACTGAACCACTAGTACTCTCAGCAGCAGATCTCCCCGAATAGCCCTCCTAATTAGGGGTAGGTGCTTATCAGGTCATCCCCAATACATCTGGGGCTCAAGAGAACGTATTTCCTTGTAGTAATTGTGGCCCTGCAAAGCTGGGCAAGATTGGTTTAACCATTGAGCAGGAAGAGAAGTCACACACCCACCTTGCACTACTTCCAGTCGTGCTCTTGTTTGCTCATAAGATGGTGTTTTCATGGATGCTCACGTGGTGTTTTCACACAAAGCCTCACAAGGACTCGGGTTTCTCACCACATGATGTCTGTAGGGTGCAGGCAGCACAGACGTGGGGCCCAGGAAGTATTGAACGTGTGATAGTGTTCTGCTCCAGCCCTGGGTGCTGCTTGGGGACACTGTCGTGTTGCCTTGGATGCTGGGCAGCTGGCTGGAAACGTGTCGTTTCCCAGGCTGTGAGATTGCAGTGGTTTCTTGATGCCATCGTGTTCCATAATCAACGGCATCAGTTTTGAATCAAGTGTCCTGTGCTGGCCGGGCCAGGGCTGGGACACGTGTGAACCCTGGAGTCTTTGTGAAGTGATGTGGGACTCGTAGGAGCTCTGTGGCTGTCACCATGTCCTCAGGGACTGTGTCGTGTTGGGCTGCCACTGGAGGAAGCAGCGAGCCCTGCGGCCCTTCAGCAAAAGCAGATGTATTTTTTCTGTCTGAGGCTTTCCTAAAACCAGCATCGCTCCGTGAGATGGAATGAACGCTGCTCAGCTTGCAGCCAGGCAAGCCTTGCGTCAGGGGCACGCAGCATTGGTGCCAGGCTCTGAGCAGAGCGAGTCCGGCCAGGCATGGCCGCGTTCCGCGGGGCCGTTCGGCTGCGGCCTCCCCCTCCCCGCGCCTACAAATCCCAGCAGCACCACGGGCTGCGGGAGGCTGCACTGTAAACAGAGGCTCTGAACTCAGGCCAGACCCCGCCGCTGGCTCCTTCCTTTCCCCTCCGAGAGCTCGGAGGAGGAGGAGGGTCCAGGCGCCCGCCCAGCCGCTCCCGCTGCGCGCCGCTCCGTGCCGCGCTCACACTGCTCTGCTCTCGCAGGGACCCGCAGCCATTTGGAGGAAGTTGGGGAAGCTCCAAACCGGCACTGGAAGGTGGAAGGAGAGGACAGCCGCCGCCCCGCGTCACCCCGAGAGTCTGCGTCCCCTCCGTGTGCCATCTGGGCCCTGGGGGAACCATGTCTGCGGGGGGGGCTCCCCAGGTACGGCGGGGCGGTGGCGGGGCGTGCTCCATCCCTGAGGGCCGCTTGCAGCACGCTGCGGGGGGGAGCGGAGCTGCTGATCCTCTTTTGTGCTGCGGCGCTTCCGTGGTGGTGGCTTTTTGGTGGTTTCCCGGGGGCTGGAAACCCCCCTGGTGGTTTCTTGCTTTTCTTGTCGTTTAGAAATGCTGTAACCCAAGGAAGCGCTGCTAGTCCTGTGCAAGACTTTTCCTTTTAAATTGTCACTTCTCGAAGTTGTGACAGTCCTCAGAGCGCTGGCTGGTCTCAGTGCCTTGTGCCATCTGTTCTCCTTGCGTTCCTGCCAAACTGCCGCAGAGCTCTGAGGGAGGAAGAGAGGAGTCCTGGGGAGGGAAGTTGGGTGGGATGGGTGCTGAGCTCTGCAGGAGAGATGCTTTGGGCTCTTACAGAGGTCTCCTCCTCTGGTCCTGACCCTGGGTTGGTTGGGAATTGGGGCTCAGCGGTCACAGCTGCAGGTAGCCTGGGTGGATTCCCCCAGGTCAGGAGGGCGGCGGGCGCGGGGCATCGGCCCAGAACAAGCTCCTCTTGAGGATCTGTGCCAGGCAATGCTCTGCTGATAGGGAAGCTGTGTTGTGCTGAAACAAGTCAGAGGCACAGTGGGAAATATCATGGGGTCCCTGTGAAACCTCCTAGCACCCGACTCCTGCACGAGGGAAAGACCAAGGAAGCGCTCAGGGTGCCAGGATGCTGCCAAGCACTTCTGTGTGTGGTGAAAACGCAGAGAACAGAGAAAACCAAACCGAACCAAACCAGAAAAGCGATGGCCAGCTGCTGAAACACCTCTCCTCTCTCCTGGAGCAGCCTGCCCACATCCTGAACCTGCTGCCTTACCCCAGGCTGAACGAGGTGCCCAGGGCTGGACATGAACTGGGTTCTGCGGGTGCAGAGATCCCCTCTGACCCCTGCACAGGTGAGGGCTCAGGGCTGGTGGGGGCTCACCCACAAGGGAGTGGGTTTGGCGCTGTGTTTTTGCATTCTCTGGAGCGCAGTCGGTGGAGGGGCTGCAGCAGGGCTGGAAGGAGCAGAAGGGGGAGTAGAAACCATACATAAATGTGTGCAAGTGTGGCACCCGGGGAGGAAACCCCCCACCTGCGCTGCAGCCGCTCTGGCAGCGAGGCTCCTCTTGTACAGATGTAGCCTTTTCTTCTGTTTGGGAGGTTCTTGTTGTAATTAATTGCATTTTTGTGGTAGCCTTTGAAATCCTGTCATAAAAGCATCAGGTAAGATCTAAGGATACTTGGGCGAATTTGTGAAAGACTTTGGAAAGAACATTGTTCGCCGAGGAACGGTGTTCTCTCTCACCTTTCACTGGAGCACACGTTGCCAGGAGGAGGGAGCGTGGAGCTTGTATTTCTTTTTATCTTTAATTATGCTTCAGGCAGCAGAAGCTTAAAATAGATGAAAGCGATGCCCTGAGGCTTAGTTAATTTTAGCTTATTTGTGAATTAACGCAGGCATCTCCAGCATAATGATGCGTATGCCAAATGCGTGTTTTGCAGTGTGACAGTTCATGGTGACCAGCTCTTATCCCTTCAACCAGGCTACAGATTTTTCAAGCCCGGTGGCTTGTTCGGTATTAAACAGTCGGAGGAGCCGTTCCCTGAAGGCCAGCAGATGCAGGAGGACAGCAAGATCCTCGTGAGCCCCTGTGCAGGTAGGTGTCGCTCGTGTCCTCAGTGGGGCTGCTGGAAATTGGCCTTGGTGGGGGATGAAGGTCTTGTTGGAGAGCTGCTTGCAGCCATTTGAGGCCAGCTAATGGGATTCTTTTTGCCATTACTGCTGTCTGCCAGCACTGCACTCACCAAGCCATGGGGGAATAGGGCTCTGGAAAGGGTCCTAAACCCCCTGGTTAATTAGGGTGCTTTAAGCCAAGCGAAAGACACTGACGTTAATGCTCTGAATCTTTTTGACATCCAGTTGAGCCTGTCCGAACGAACAAGGTGGAGCAGCCTGATGAGAAGCCCGGGGTTGCTGCAGGCTCTCTGGAGCTGTACCCCACCGGTGCCAGCAGCTCCAGCCGCTGGTTCCATGGCGGGCAGCGCGCTCCCGAGCGGGCAGGCACGGAGCGGGACGGCGCGGCCGGCCTCAGCCCGCTGCCCTCCAGGGTGGGCTGCTGGGTGCCCCAGCTTGGCAATGGCCCCTTCCGCTGTGCCCAGTGCGGGAAGGGCTTCCGCCAGAAGCAGAGCCTCATCACTCACGAGAGGATCCACACCGGGGAGAAACCCTACAGGTGCGGGGATTGCGGGAAGAGCTTCAGCCAGCGCCCCAACCTGCTGACCCACCGCCGCGTGCATACTGGGGAGCGGCCCTTCCCCTGCACGCAGTGCGGCAAGAGCTTCAGCCAGAAGGCCAACCTCCTGGCCCACCAGCGCATCCACGCCGCCAACGAGAAGGCGCTGGCGGGGGGTGAGCAGGAGGACGGTGGCTCCGGCAAACCGAAGCTGCGGGCTACGCAGCGCAGCTACCAGGACGACACCCCCTTTGTGTGCCCCGAGTGTGGGAAGAGCTTCCGGCAGAAGCCCAACCTCATCACGCACCGGCGCATCCACACGGGCGAGCGGCCCTTCACCTGCTTCCTGTGTGGCAGGAGCTTCAACCAGAAGACCAACCTGGTGACGCACTACCGCGTGCACACCGGGGAGCGCCCCTTCGCCTGCACCCAGTGCGGCAAGCGCTTCACGCAGAAAACCAACCTCGTGACGCACCAGAGCACCCACACTGATGTCCGCCCCTACCCCTGCGGGCAGTGCCAGAAGTGCTTCAAGGACAAGGTGTCCCTCAAAGCCCACCAGAAGACGCACGCCCCACGCCAGCGGAGGTGCCCGGGCCGGGGTCCGGCTCCCACCCTACCCTTCGGGGCTGCACCCACACTGCTGCAGCCAGGCAGCCTGGAGCAGGAGGCTCCTTTCAGCTCCATGCCGCCGCTGCCCGTTCAGAAGATCCCCGAAGGCCAGGAGCTGTACTCGTGCACGGAAAAGGGCTTCCCCTCGAAGGAGCAGCTGCTGCCCACGCAGCAGGCCCATCTAGGGGAGCAGGCCTTCCCCTGCGTGCAGTGTGGGGAGGGGTTTTGCCCCAAGGTGACTCTGCTCCGGCCGCAGCATGGCCCCACCGCCGAGGCTCCTGCTGGCTGCGCTGCAGGCTTCAGCCCCGGCCCACACCTCCTGGGGCACCTGGGGGTGCAGCCTGTCCTCGGGGACGGCACGGCCCCCACGCCGCCCACCCCCGGAGCGGAGAAGCCCTTCATCTGCAATCAGTGTGGCAACAGCTTTGGCCTGTGGATCTCCTTGGTTGCTCACCAGAAGACTCACGTGGGGCAGAAGTCCTACCAGTGCCCCGAGCACGACAAGAGCTCTGGAGATGAGCTGTCCACCAAATCTCCCCAGGAGAAAGACATGGAGGGGAGAGCCTGGCTGTGCCCCGAGTGTGGGAGAAGTTTCGTGCAGTATGAGCGTTTGGTGAAGCACCGCCAGAACCACCGGGGCCGGGGTCCTTATCGCTGCGACGTCTGCGGGAAGAGGTTCAGCCTGAAGACCAACCTGGTGACTCACCAGCGCATCCACACCGGCGAGCGGCCCTTCACCTGCGGCGTCTGCGGCCGCCGCTTCAACCAGAAGGGCAACCTGGTGACGCATTACCGCACGCACACCGGCGAGCGCCCCTTCGCCTGCACCCAGTGCGGCAAGCGCTTCGCCCAGAAGCCCAACCTCATCGCCCACCAGAAGACCCACTCGGGCAGGCAGCCCTTCACTTGCCTGGAGTGCCCCAAGCGCTTCAAGAGCAAGCTCTCCCTCCGGGTCCACCAGCGCGTGCACGTGGTGGAGCGGCCCCAGAGCGAGCCGGGCCCCGGCCAGACACCGCCCAGCCTGCAGAGCCACCCCGGCAGCCCGTACCCCTGCTCGCTCTGCGGGGAGTCCTTTGAGGAGCACGGCGAGCTGCAGCTGCACCGGCAGGGCCACGCTGGCGAGCGGCCGCACGCCTGCGCCGAGTGCGGAAAGCGCTTCCGGCAGAAGGTGAACCTGGCTGTGCACCAGAGGACCCACACCGGGGAGCGGCCCTTCCACTGTGCCGAGTGCGGGAAGGGCTTCAGCCAGAAGGCTCACCTCCTCCGGCACCGCCGGACGCACACCGGTGGTGTGCCGCCCTCCTGCTGCGAGGGGACCTGCCCGGCACACCGCGACGAGCCGGACGCCAGCGCTGCCCTGGGGAAGGGACCCGCGCCGCCTGGCGCGCTGCTGCCGCCCTGCTCCCGTGGAGCCGTGCAGGGATCGCTGCCGCGGGAAGAGCTCCGGCCGGGAGCGCAGCCCGGCCCAAACAGAGCAGAGAGCCCATCCGGGGCCGCAGACATCCTTCTGCAGCTGATGCAGGAAGAGCAGCACCTGGTGTCTGGCTCGCAGCACCCACAGGAGGCGCCCGCTGGGCAGTGCCCCTGCAAGTGCTCCGAGGGCGGGGAAGGGTTGGGTGGGAAGCCCAGCCTGCAGCCGCAGTGCTGCTGCGCCGACTGCGTGACCCAGAGGCAGCTGCTGCTGAAGCCCCAGCATGACTGCCGTGCTGAGATCTGGTGCAAGTACGGCGGCTGTGGAAGAAGCTTTGAGGACAAGAGAGTCCTGAGAGTGCCTGAGAGAGCGCACAGCGAAGAGAAAACCTCGCCGTGCCCGAGCTGCTTGTAACGCGCCCGCTGCCACGCGCCCACCCAAGCGAGGGACCGCACCTTGTTGCTCTTGCGGCAGGGACACCAAACCTGGCTCGGTGGGAGCTCATGCCAGGAGCCAACTGCTGACCGACTGCGGACCTGTAAGAGTCTGAGGCAGGGCAGGCTGCGAGTCCCAGCCTGCGGGGCTCGGGAGGACTGTGGTGGTTCTTGTGAACAGGACACTTGCGAGTGAAGCACCCTGGAGGTGGGTTGTGAGATGCAGCAGGTTGGTCACGAGGCAGTGGATGGACTTGGACACAAGGCGTGAGCTTTCTGTGTTTTGAACATACCAAATTGTAAGGCGGGTGGAGCTGAGGAGCAGCAGGTGCCGGATCACGGGTCTGCAGCGCTTCTGCCAGCGCCTGCCTGTGAAGAGTTGGATTGTGCGGGGTGGGAAGGAGCTCGGGATCCTGCATGCTGACTTAAGGATCGCTTCTGCCGTGCAGGAGGCCGGGCAGAGGCATGTCTGCTGGGGCCTGGCTCCAGGCTGAGCGTTGCAGTCCTGCAACATGCAGACCTGGCGTGGGGCACAGAGGGGCCTTGGTGGGCTGGGAGCTTCTGCTAGAGCCCTCTGCCCTCAGCATCCAGACTGACGTCCCTCCACAAAAAGGCTGAGGGCCGGAGAGCTGTGCCCCGCTATTGGCTGCCCACCAGCGTGGGCAGAGGAGCAGCTTCGCTGGGGATGAGCGAGCTGCAGAGGGCAGCGACGGGTCCCTTCCTGCCTCGAGGACCCTGGAGGATCACAGCTAAGTATCTCCTCCGAGCCGGGAGGGGTAATACAGGGTGAATATGGGGGGTGGGGATGGGGATTGTAGCTTCCGCTTCTGTACTTGCTCTATGGATAACCTTTCTGAGTAGCGCCTCTTTCTGGTACTCACCTAACTTCTGCATAGATAACCAGGAGTGCCGGGCAGCGGTGTCTGCACTGCCCACAGCTGCGCCCGTGCTGGTGGGCGAGCAGTGTGGAGCTGTCTGGCTGGGGCAGGGCTGTGGGGCAGAGCTTTAGGGATGGGAGCTGCTGGCCTGGAAGCTGTTCCCGCTTGGAAACGCGCTTCGCATAAAAGGGGAAGCAAATCTCGCCTGCTGTGCCCAGAGGGCCCGGCTTGCCACTGCTCCCCTCGCGCTGTGAGCTGTGCAGCCCCAGCCCTAGCAGCACGCCCCTATCGCTTCGCTCAGCTGCAGAGCCTCCTTGCTACCATGGTTTGGCAAAGACCTTCGCTGAGGACATGCGGGTGCTGTCGGCGGTGCCCGGCGCGATCCTGGGTGCGCTCTGCCTGCCGCCTCCTCCCCTGTGTTGTGGGGGCACGGTGTGAGGGAGGCTGCTTGCTGTGCAGTGAGCAAGCGCCTCGCCGGCTGCCCAGCACAGAGGTGGGCTCTCCGTTCCTGGAGATGTCCAACACCCAGAGGGACGCAGCCTGGGGCAGCGGCGCGGTGGCCCTGATGGGCAGGGATGGAGCAGGCCATAACCAGAGCTGCTCAGCCCCAGGACTTGGAGCGGCCAGGAGGGCACACCGGGACGGCCCCGCTGGACCTGTGTGCTGGGTAAGGATGTTTTCTGTTAGCAGAGTGCCTGGCTGGTGGCACGGCCACGCGAGGGATGGTGGCATCCTGGCGTGGGGTCCCTGGCTCCATCCCCAGGCAGGGAGTGGGCATTGCTCCCTGCAGCGCTCAGCCCCGCTCACCCAGCATCACGCTCCAGCGACGTTTCAGGTCCTTGCAACTCTATTTTTTTGAGGTTATTTAAAATAAAAGCTTACTCACAGCAGCTTCCTGCCTCCTCCTTTGCGGGACGGCACTCTGCCCCTGCCCTCGGGGTGGGAGCCACTCGCCCATCCGTGTTGGTGCGCTTTATAACCGTGTTGCTGGCAGAGCTGCCTGCAGAGGCCTTTTGGCTTTTGCATCTCTTAGCAAAAGTCTCACACAGCGAAGGGGTGAAGGCAGCAGATCGTCAGTAGAGCTGCATCAGATTGTGGTGCTTTTTAAAGCCATGACTCTTGCCAGCAGCTGAGCTGGGGCTGCCCCTCCTGGGGCTGCGCTTTGTTCTCCCCTTCATTCCCCACCAAGAGTCGACAGCCCCCCAGCGCTGTCACTGCTGTGAGTTGTGCATCAAGGCAGACCCTGGCCCCCACACGCCTGCCTGTGAGCAGCGCCTTCACTTCCCTGCCACTGCAGCCCTGTGAGCGCCGTGGGCCTTTGCTCTCCTTCCCATTCTGTTGGCTGCGGTCCCTGCTGGGTGGCTGGGATGGGATCCTGGGGCGCGGAGCTGCTGGAATGCTGCTCGTTGGGTGCGTGGAGACGTGCAGGCCCTGTCCTGTCCCACGCTGCTCCTTCCCGTCCCGTCCTGCTGCTCCACCTCCCACCGACAGGCAGAAGGCGCCTGGGCTGTGCTCCGTATCCCCACTATCCTCACCCTTCCCTGAGCTGCCAGCCGTCTGGCTGTGGTCACAATCCCACTGGGAGGGGGGGTCATAGAAAAAGGGAGGTTGGAAAAGACCTTATGAAAGTCTAACCCCCCACCCCCACCATGCCTACCAACCACATTCTCCATGCCACATCCCCAAGGTCCTTGAGCACTCCTAGGGACAGTGACCTTCCCTCCCCCGGGGGCAGCTGTGCCAGTTCCAGCTGCTCTTTGGAGAAGAAATCCTTCCCAGTATCCAACTTGAACCTTTCCTAATATGCAACCCGACGTGTCCCTCGTTGTGCCCCAGCTCCCAGGCTCCTGCTGCGAGCCTGAGATCCTTGGAGCCGAGTTCCTGTTTCCATCCCCTCGGCAGCAAAGCAGCCAACTCAGCACGCTGGTGGCACAAAGGCTCGTCCTGCCGCCGCGCTGGGGAAGTGTCAGCAGCTGCTCCAGGAACGCAGGCATGCATGGCCAGGCAGGTCTGGGCAACGGCACAACAGGAAGCTGCGCGGGGTGCAGCAGTGCTGGCAAGCCACAGCCTGCGTGCACCGGGCGCCTGAGGCCTGATCCCAGCAGCGCCCGTCCTACGCGGGACCCTGAGCGCTGCGCTTTGCTCGTGGCCTTGGCTGCTCTGGTGAGCCCTGCTGCAGCCTCGTGCCGTTCCAACCAAATTAGGGCCCTTCCCACTGACGCTGGGATCTCCATTTTGCTCCCCCCGTGCACCCCAATGCTCGGCAGCACCTCTGCCATGTGCCACCGTCCTCCGGTGCCGACCGGAGCTGCGGCGGGGGGCTGCGCCCTCGGGGGTGAGCGGGGGAGGGGGGTTTAGGGAGCTCCGTGCGTCGCAGGGTGCCGGCAGAGCCCCTCGGCACGGACTGCAGCTCCCGGCAGAACCCGCAGAACCTCCCCAGAACCCTTTGTTCCCGGCCCAGCAGCGCGGGCTGCAGCGTGGAAACCCCTTTGTTTTCCACCCGCTCGGGGTTTCCCTTTGCAAAAGAGCAGAAATTCCACTCGTGGGTGGATCGGTTCGGCCCGACCCGATCCCGCCGGGGGGGTCCCTCCCTCCGCTGGGGCCGAGGCTGCGGGGCGGGCGCTGAGCCCACGCGTGACCGCGGCCGCGGGGCCGGGAGCGCGGGCGGAAGAACGAGCCGGGGGCCGGAGCGGGCGGCACAAAGCGCGGAGCGGGGCAGGTCGGCACCGGGAGGCACGGCGGCGGGGGGCGGAGGGAAGGAGAGGGGGATCGCGAATTGGGGGCGGCACCGCGCAGGGCCCGGCCCGGCCCCGAGCGTAGGGAGCGCCGCGGTCACGCGCGGGGCGGGGGATGCGCAGCGAGCACACAGAGCGCACGGAGAGAGCCGGGCCCGGAGCGCAGCGTTGGGAGCAGGTAGGGGAGGCCCGGGGTGGGGGGGGTGTGGGGAACGGCTCGGTTCGGCTCGGCCCGGGGGGGCGGTGCGGCAGCGCGGAGCCGAAGCGCAATGCGGCGCGGCCCGGCCCCATCCCGGCTCTGTCGCAGCCCCATCCGGACCATCTCGACCCCACCCGGACCCCATCCCGTGCCCATCCGCCGAGATCGCGCCGTGCCCCCCTCCCCCTCCCCGAGCCTGCAGCCCCAGCGCTGCTCCCCGGCGGGATGACGCCGTAGAACGGCCCCGGCCCCGGCCCCGGGTCCCCTCTTGCCCCCCACGGTCAGGTGTGGTTGTGAAGCTTAGCAGGGAGGAACGCAGCCACCATGAGGGCATCCGGCCCCGGAGCGGCGGCGCGGGGAGTGCTGGGTGTCGTTGGACCCCCACGGGTTACGGCTGGGAGCTGCAGCTGCCCCTCTTTGTGCCCCCCAGGGATGCGGGCGCCGTGAGCCGGGCATCGTGCGCCCATGACGGACCTGGCATCGCCCGCGGGCGAGAACAGCTTCGCCTTTCCCGGCGGCGGCGAGGAGGGCTTTGGGGATGAGAAGGCGTTGGTGATCCACAGCCAGGCGGAGGAGGAGGCGGCGGGGAAGGAGTTCAAGTGCATCCTGTGCGGGGAGTGCTTCGGCCAGCAGCCCAGCCTCGCCCGGCACCAGAAGCACCACGCCGGGGAGCGCGCCTTCATCTGCGCCGAGTGCGGCAAGGCCTTCAGCCTCAAGCACAACCTCATCATCCACCAGCGCATCCACACCGGGGAGCGGCCCTACCAGTGCGACGTCTGCCAGAAGAGCTTCAGCCTGAAGCAGAACCTGCTCACCCACCAGCGCATCCACAGCGGCGAGAAGCCCTTCTCCTGTGGGAGCTGCGGGAAGCGCTTCCGCGAGCAGCGCTTCCTCCTCAACCACCAACGCACCCACGCCGAGGACCAACCCGGGGCCACCAGCGCCGCCGCCTGCAGCCGCTCGCCGGGCTCGGAGCCGCATGAGGAAGCCGGTGGTCCCACGGCAGCAGGCGGCCCCTTCTCCTGCACCCGCTGCGGGAAGGCCTTCGGCTGCCGGAGCAGCCTGGCTGCACACCAGCGCACCCACGGCGGCGAGCGGCCCTTCGCCTGCGCCGAGTGCGGGAAGAGCTTCAGCCAGAAGGGCTCCCTGAAGCTCCACCAGCGCACCCACAGGGCCGAGAACGCCCTCACGTGAGCCCCCGCGCCCCGGGACCCCCTCCCATGGCTGCCCTGCGGGGCTCTCCGTGCCCTGAGCCCCCCCAGCATGGCTCCAAGCGCTGCACGGAGGCTCGGGGCCGCTGGGCGTCTCAGTGGGCGCCATCCCCTCGGTGCTGTTGTGACGGCGTGGTCAGTGCCAGCTCTGCCTGAGCCCCCCCAGGCACCCCGTGCTCCCTGCACGGAGCTGCTCTCCTGATCACCACGAGGTCTCTCCCATCAGCTGCTCCTGCTCCTCACCTCAGGCTCTCCCGGGCTGTTGGGCACCTATTGGGTTTCTGCCACCCCCCGGGGCACTGGGAGGAGCTGAGTGAGGCGGCCGCCTCTGGAAATGGCTGAGTTCCCCGGGTGGTTTCCTCCCCTCCACTCCCAGCACCTCAGCACTGCAGCCAGGTGCACAGCGGGGCCACAGGTGGAACCCCTGAGCGAGGAGCAGCGGGGGGGGGGGGTTTCCCCTCAGCACTGCTGTGTGCACCCCGTGCCCCCGTGCTCCCCATTGCCCCTTACCCCCCATCCCCCATCCGGGCTGGTGCTGCTGCAGCGTTGCAGAGCGCCCTGAAACACAGAAATCGTGCAAAATTAAAACAAACCCGCAAAGCTCACAGGTGCAGACTGCTTCCCAAGGGCAGCGGCAGCTCCAGCCTGGAGGAGGGACTGCGGCGAGGCGTGGGATGCGGCCGGAGCAGCAGAGAGCCCGGCCTGGGCGGTGCAACCAGGAGTGGGTGCGTGGTGACGGGAGCACTGCGGGCTCCCGGCGGGCTGAAAACGTGCCGGTGCTCAGCCACGGCCAGGAGAAGCGAGGGTTGGGGTGGACATCTCTGCCCCTTGTCCCGCTCTGCTGTCCCCAAGCACCGGGGAAGGGGAAGAGGCGGCACCGCAGCCCCGCTGCACGTGGGACGGTGCAAATCCCGCATCACCTCTGTGCCCGCCGCTCCGTGTAAGCCGCAGCGTTCTGGGAGCGCTCCTGGCTGCCACTGCGGGACGGCGGCCGCCATCCGCTGGGCTTCCATCCGTGCGCGCCGTCCTGCGCTCTGAACCGGGACGGCGCTCGGTGAGCCGGGATGAGACGAACTCACGGCTGCATCCAGGCTGCGCGCCCCTCGCCCGCGCCGCTGCTGCCCCGCCGCTTGCAGGGGAAAACCAGCTTCCCGCTGCCGACGCTGCTCACACCGCTCCGCGCCGCCCCGCGGGGTGATGCGGTGCGTCGGGACGCGGCTGCGGGGGGAGCTGACACCCGGCCCGGCCGCAGCTCCCGGTGACGGCTCCTCCCGACCCCCGAGGGAGCTGCTCCTCCTCCCCCCTCCCGCCGCTCCCCGCTCCGTGCCAGCGACCCCGCGCACGACGAAGCCCCCCGCGAACACCCGCGCCGAGCGATCCCCGTCCCGCGTCCGCCCGCGTGTCCCCCTGCCGCTGTGTGTGTGGAAATGCAGGCACTGCCGCTGTGTATTAATTAAATTAATGAACGCCTGGAAAACGCCGCGTCTCCGTCTTGCTAAGAGCTCGGGGAGAGTCGCGCGGCTCGGCCTGCTCCGACACCGGGGTGAGCGGCACACGGCCACGGAGCCCTCCGCCGTCTCCAGAGCCGGGCCGGTGCCCAGGAGCTGCCGTTCCCCCTCGGGCTGCGCCCGTCCCGGCCGAGGAGAGCCGGGGCCGCTTCCGCCTCCATCGGCTTCCGTCAGGTTCGGCTCGTTTCGCCGTTCTCCCCCAGGAAAAGGGGTGGCAGAAGGAACGCGCTGTGTGCTCCAGAGGGCGTTCGCGACCCGCGCGCTGTGCGGAGCTCCGCAGGCAGCGCTGAGCACGGGGGGGGACGCGCAGCCCCATCGGGTGGCGCAGCTGCTCTGCCCCCGCCCGGCCCGGACACGAGCGGGCTCTGCGGTGCCGCTGCGACCTCCGAGCTCCCGAAGGGGCGACGGGCAGCGCCGGGCTCAGCCGGAGCCGGAGGGCAGCGGCCGGAGAACGCGGTTTGCTCCGGAACGTCTCGTTTGCAGCCCGCACCTCTCACGCCGGTTTCTTTCAGCCCTCTGCAGTGCCGGCAGCCCCCGATCTCTGAGGTCCCGGCATCGTCGTCGCTCGGTGGCCTGAGCTACCCGTGCCACTGTGTCCTGATGGTCCCAATATTCACATTACCGATGTCCCTGTGTCAGCAGCCCACGTGATCTGAAGTCCCAAAGTCCCAAAATCCCTGCGTCCCCATGTCCCTGACACCCACTGTCCCAGTGTCCCAATGTCCCCATATCGCCTAGTCCCCGTGTCCCCCCTGTCCCCCTTCCCCCCGCCGCCCCGGCTCCGCGCTTCCCCGCACCGACACCGGGGACCGCAGCTCCGTCCCAGGAGCTCCGCGGCCGCCCATCCCCGCCCACAGGCGGTCCCCGTCCCGCAGAGCGCGGCCGTCCGCCGGGTGAGCGAGCGGGGAGCGGAACCGAGGCGGCCGCAGCTCCGCGCCCATGGCGGACCGCGCCGCGGAGACGGGAGCGGCGGTTCTCCCCCGCGGGGCGCAGCGCCACCGGCAACACGTTGCTGGGCGAGGAGCGCTTCGAGTCCCGGCTGGCGTCCCAACCCGTCACCACCACGTGCAAAGACGGCAGGCGGGATTGGGGCGAGTGGTCCGTGGTGGTCATGGACACCCCGGCGATTTTCGGGGGCTCTCAGTGGGACAAGCAGCATTTGGCCGAGGAGCGCCAGCGCTGCCTCAGATTCGCTGCCCGGGAGCCCTGCGTGCTGCTGCTGGTGACACAGCTGGGCCGTTACACGCGGGAGGACCGCGAGGTGCAGGCTGATGAGGTGCTGCACAGGGCTGTGAGCATCGCACTCAGGCAGCGCGAGGGGCGCCGGCGCAAACGGTGGTGGTGATGGTTGTGTTTTTTCTGTAATTAAGATCTAATCACCGTGACGAGACCCACGGGCTACTAAATAAACGAGAGTTTCCAAAACGCAAAGCTCTCGTGCCGATGCTGCAGCAGCTGTGACACACAGGGAGCAAAGGAGAGCGCTGCTGTGAGCTTTGGGTTCTGCTGTCATTGCCTCCCCCTGGAAGATGGAAATCACAAAATAAAGCGTTGTGGGAGCGCCGTGCCTTTCTGGGAGTTGTAGCTCATTCTTCGGAGCCGCCGCGTCGCCCCGTTGACTCCCATCGCTGCGTGACGCCGGGAATGTGGAATAACGAGGAAAAAACCACGAAACCGCGACGGCTGCGCTGCCGCGGCCGGGGCCGAACGGAGCGGGGTGAGTGCGGGCACCGAGGAGCCGCCCCGCGAGCAGCCCCGGTGCCG